GGCTTGGCTTCTTCTTCCACCATTGGTAGAAGTTACAAGGCATATGGTTTAGCTAGCATGTTTCCCATTAGCATATAAAAATCTGGTGTTTTATTCTCTTATTTCACAACTTTACAGAGTAGGATTGATTGTGCCATTCTCTTATACTAAATACTTTGTGCTCAATCTTGTTTTTTTTTTTTTTTTGACCAAAGTGCTCAATCATGATATCAACTCTTTTGTTGGGCACTTTTACCCTGTTAACATTCCCAATTTATCTGTTCCATTTTATATTTTAAATGTTTATTCTATCCATTGTCTGCGGTCAACTTTCAAGATAACTTAATATTTGAAGAAAATTTTATTGAGTACTCCCTCCGATCTTATTTGTTCTTTCTGTTTCACGATTAAGAAGTTTCAAAAAATTCTTCTCATTTGGAATCATCTATATATTGATAAAATATTCTCATTAATTTTTCTCTATTTATTTGGTGAATGTGCCAAAATTTTTACTAACTTTTTTTTTTTTTTTTAATTTTTTTTTTATAACAATTCTTCACTAATTGAATTTCCCCATATGATTCCAATTTGTGACCATCATTCTCTTTTCTTGTCTCACCACCCTTTTGTTTTTCTCATTTTGAATCAGGGAGTAAATTTGAATGAGAAAAAAAAAATTAAAGTAATAGAGATTCTTATTTTTTATCAAAAAAAATTGAAAAAAAAGGACATGCCTAATTACTGTGGTGTTTGGGAAGAGAGAATGATGATTAAAAATTGAAATCATGCAAGAGGAAATTCAATTAGTGGAAAATTATTAGAAAATTTGTATGGAAAAGAGAAAAAGGGTAATAACTTTTGGCACATTCACCAAAATTAAGGAAAATCAAAGGGAACTTTTTCCATATGTGGAAGATTCTAAATGGTTATCTATTTGAACCATCCTGAATGTGAAGAACAAAATGGTACGTAGAATCTCTATTATGTTAACTTTTTCTCTAACATTAACATTCATTTCTTAATTTACGCCCTGATTTGAAATGTGATGAACAAATAGGATTGGAGGGAGTATTTTGTAAAAAATTATTAAATTTTCTTGAATATTAGACTAATAGCAATTTAAATTTTGTAAGTCCCCATGTATCTAGTTTATAAAAATCCGTGGTCTAATATAGCTAGACCTTTAAAAGTCAAACTATTGCAATATATTTGAATGGGGCAAATACTGTATTATATTGTAACTGTATATTTTGATCAATCTTTTAATCTCTTTTAGTTGAGGAAATTTCGACAGCCTTATTTTCTTTTTTATTTGATATGATATTTTTCGACTCCCCCCCCCCACCTATACCTTTATTTTTGTACTTAAATTGTGTAATTCTCAGTATTTGAAAATCAGTCGAATCTCGTTGGTGATCAACTCAACCAATCTATCGGAATCTTTCATTTATAAATTAAAGTCATGGTTTATGCTTACTTTTATGCCTCTGCAGTGTTATGCAGCGTGGTACGGTTCATGCCCTGGTTTGAAGGTACTCTGTCCATATTCATCAGAAGATGCCCGAGGGTTACTTAAAGCTGCCATTAGGGATCCTGACCCTGTTGTTTTTCTGGAAAACGAGATACTGTAAGTGATGATACATATTTATTGTTTTTTTTTTTCTTTTCAATTGTGGATTTGTTCACCGTCTAAGTTACAAAATTTTGATATGTTTCTCTGTAGATATGGAGAATCCTTCCCTGTTTCAGAAGCAGTTCTCGACCCTAATTTCATCCTTCCAATTGGGAAAGCAAAGGTTCTATGATTTTCTTGATGATATATCTCAATTATTGAACATAGATTGATAAAATTGCTTGACCAATTCTTTATTTTGATACAGGTAGAACGACAAGGAAAGGACGTCACAATCACAGCTTTCTCTAAGATGGTGGGCTATGCTCTGAAGGTACATTATTTCTTTTTAACGTCTTCCCTCAAATGTAGTACATCATTTTGTTCTTTTCACATTTTTCTGTGAACTATAGAGTGTATAACTTGACTTTCCTAAACTGCAGGCAGCTGACATTTTGGCAGAAGAAGGAATAAGTGCCGAGGTAACTTTTTTTTTTTTTGGTTCATTGATATTGCTGCATACTCTTCTTACTTTAGCATTGCTGCTTAATTTTGAGGACTCGAGGATATTATATGGCATCTTCTATTGTTCAGGTGATAAATCTACGTTCAATTCGTCCTCTTGACAGACCCACAATCAATGAATCTGTCAGGAAAACAAATAGGCTAGTAACTCTTGAAGAGGGTTTCCCGCAGCATGGAGTTGGTGCAGAAATCTGGTAATCATCACCTTGAATATACTTGTTTTTTCCTCCTTTTTCTTTAGTTTTCCCTGAACAAAGTTAATTTGTAATTGCTTGTATAACGTTCTATTTTTAGTTGATCTTTGTGCCATTGCTTCACTTATAATAAGGTGTGCTGCAATAACAGTGTCATGTGTCAATTGAGCTAATAAGACAATTTGGCACTGAGTTCTCAACTACACTTTTTCACTTCGGCCCCGTTTGGTTTGATGTAAAATGTTTTCATGGAAAATGATTTTCCCATTTTCACTTGTTTGGTTTGTGAAGGGGTGAAAAACAATTTTCCCAATGGTGGAAAATTACATTATTAATGATTGAAAACATTTTCCTTGAAGCCACATTTTCCTCTCTCCTCCTTACCTCCTTTTTTATTTCCCTCTCATCCATCCTCACATTGCCACTCCTATTTTTTACTTTTCTTGTGTGCAACCAAACAATGGAAAACTAATTTGCAATTGTGTTTTACTTTGAAAATTTGTTTCCATGAAAACTAATTTTTCATTGAAAATATTTTACATCAAACCAAATGGGGCCGTAAATCAACTATGTTTAACTAATTTTCTCTCTTTGTTTGTACAGTGCATCAGTTGTTGAAGATAGCTTTGCGTACCTAGATGCACCAATCGAAAGGATTAGTGGTGCTGACGTTCCTATGCCTTATGCACCAAATCTTGAAAGGATGGCCGTCCCACAGGTCCAAATTATATTTTCTTTATTGATCATAGTGAATTTGTTCTGTTTACGTCCTGGAAGTAGCACCTTTCAATCCTGCTATATTTATTTTATTTTAAGGGGTATTACAATATATAAATTAGCTCTTCATATATAACGCAAACTTGCCTGCAAGAATGAAGCAGTCAGTCCAACCAAGGTTTTAATGAAAAATTAAAGCTCGATTAAAGACAATGAAATTGATACTAGCCTGTAAATTACGACATTAAGTTGATTTCAGCATAGGCTATTAGGATGTGGTCAATAGTATCTAACTAGGTTGAGGGATTTGTTGCTTATACTAGTGGAGTAACTAATCTTTTGGGCAAGCTGGTCGTTTCTTGTACCTTATCGTCCCATGGTAGTGGAAAAAAAAAGTTGTGAATATATTCTAAACCCAGACATTTGTTATGTCATTTGTGTATAATTGTCTAATATCTGCCTTTCCATATTACAGATTGAGGATATTGTTCGAGCTGCCAAGCGAGCATGTCACAGATCAAAATGAACTGCTGAATACTGAATCTCAAATCAATCTATCAATTTTATCTAATTTCACACATTGATATTGATGTAATTTGTTATTTTTGCCACTGGTGTGGCTGCTTTGGTCAAAATTCAAGGACTAACTTTGTGTCCGAAATAAAATTTTGTAACATTAATCTGCCCAAAAATTTCCTGTGGTACCAACAAGAGCAATAGCTAATACAAAAGGTTGCGAAGTAATCAAATCAATGCAGCCTCATTTTTCTCAGTCAAGATAAGTTACTCGTATTGATTATTCTTTTGTAGAAAAAATAACTTATGTAACATACTTAAGTATCTAATTATTCTTCTTCAAAAAAAAAAAGTATCTGACTATTCTTTTGAATACTCTACCAACTCACTGGCAGGTAGCAGTCTCCATGATCGGTCTAATTCCTTCTTTATGCTCACTAATATGGTAATACTACAACGGCATCACCTTTGGTCACAACTCACTAGCTACTTACACTGTTACACACTCCCTTCGGCCACCACTATAAGTCGAGTAGAACTAATAAACAACACCTCAAAAGAATGTCACACTTCTCTCTATCCTCGTGCGGTTTTTACTGGGATGGATTTGGTGCAAGTTTGTTGCATCCGCACATATACATATACATATTAAGAGCACCCACAATGGGTAACTCACTAACCTCCCCACAACACTCTCTCTCATACTTTGGGGTAGCTCACCATTGTAAATGGTGACTTGTGAGTAACTCACCCCATGAGGCACTTCTCTCTTCCAGGTAACTGACAACATTGGACCGTGTGCAAGAATTTCATTATTTTAATTTTTTTTTGCTTTTTTGTTGTGTGAAACGACAACGTTTTGCTTAAAATTGCCTCATTGTTTACCTTGTGTTAGTACACTACAATGACACTTGAATAAATGTAGCTGTTGCATTATTTGCCAGAATTTTGTATAGATTTAAAAGGGTGAAATATCTTATAACGGTTTTTAAAAAAAAAAATCTACATTACTTTTCAAAAAAAAATTACCGTTGAGTTTGTCATAATTTTATCTATAAGTAGAGTCCAATATTGACATATTTTTTCACAAGTAAATTTTTACCTTTTCTCTATTAACACACAACATTCAATTTTCATATTGTCTAAACCCAAAAAATATTAACCCTACTTATGGGTCCTAATAATCCAAATCAAGGAAATAATTTTTACTCCCCAAACAATCCAAATTACCAAATGAATTCCAATTCTCCAAATTTTCAAGCTAATTTTCAATTTGACCCAAATACCCTTTCTAATCCGAATGTTCAAAAATGTTATATTATAACATTCCTAATCGGCCAATAATACCTCCAAATCAACCATTGTCTAACCAGTTCCCACAAAAATTTCAAAACCAATTTCAACAATAATTTTTGCAACAATTTCCCCAAAATTATTTATCTAGTGCAATGTTTCCAATGTCTCAACATTTTGGTAACCAACTAGATAATAATCGAGCAACTCCTGGCGGCGATGGAAGTAGTAACAAAACTCCTCCCGAAATCAATGCTACTGATGATGACAATGACGATGAAGAGGTTGACGTGGTAGATCCAAAAGGGATCAACAACGCTTCCAGTAGTAAATGGGGAGCACAAGAAGATGATGCACTTGTATCCGCTTGGATTCATTGTGCGATTGATGATCCAGAAAAGGCGACAAATCAGACTTTAAGGGATATGTGGAAAAGTATATATGATTTGTATGAGCTAGCTAGGGTAGAAAAGTCTTCTATCATACAACGTAGGACTTTGAGAGCTATGAAAGGTCGATGGGGTAGAATTAACAAAGAATTAAATATATGGGTCGGTTGCTACGCGGAAGCACAACGTAGAAATGGGAGTGGTACCAACAACCACAATGTTATGACTGATGCTCAAGAAATGTATAGAGCAGCACAAAATGGAGCACGATTTACTTTACTCAGTGTGTGGGAAGAGCTGCGTAAATGTGATAAATGGAGGCCAACAAACAAGCAAGTGCCGGAAACCAGTGAAAGTGGTAGCTCCAAAAGGTCAGAATCAGATACTCTTACAGATGACGGAAGGCGTGGACGACCCGATGGGGTGAAAATGGCTAAAAGAAAAGGTAAATCAGTTGCTAGTTCTGGAATTAATAGTTTAGATTCGTTTACCCAAGCCCTATCAAAGATGAATATGATGAAAGAGCAATACTTAAATGTTGATGAGAAGCGAGCAGATGTAGCAAAACAAATGTTGGATTATCAAAAGGAGCGAGATGTCATGAAGAGACAGAGAAAAGAGGAGAAGAAGAGGTTCAAACTATTCAGTGTTCTACTTGCAAAATCACACCTCACCGAAGATGATGAAAAACTTCTTCAGAAACTAAAAGAGGAATTTAGCCATCTCTTAGGTTAGTTTGAGCGTCTTTTAAGTTAATTTAAGCTTAAATTTGTAGTTTTTCTTAAGTTATGATGTTTAGTTTAGGAAAAATGGAATCTAAAAATCCAACCTTTGGCCGGTCTGACAATAAAAATCTAACCTTTAAGTAATCTCAGAAAAATCCAACCTTTGCCCCCACCTTCTCCAACAGACCCATTACCTGTTGATGACCGTTTTTTGTAAGTTATGTGCCACCTGTCAGTCGTTAATTGGTCAATAATTTTTTTAATCATTAAAAAAAAAACAGAAAAAAAACCACCAGCCACCTCCCCCAGCCCCCGCACCACCCCATCCACCTCCCCCACTCCCCTGTAATTTCCCCCCACCCCAACCAGCCCCACCATCGGGGTCGCCGGATTCCGACGATCTCCCCCCACCCCCTCACCCCTTGTCGCAACCTCCCCAACCACCAAAACCCCCTACAATCTAAACCCTAACCACCACACCAAACACCCTATTCGACCCTCCCAAACCGCCCGACCCCTCCCCGAACCTCCCCACCCGCCCGCCGACCACTTACCGACAACCCCTGACCCGTTTCCACCCCTCCCCTCCCCTCCCTAAACCCAACCCCGGTTTTCTAATATCCCTGACCTGTTTTTGGGGTTGTGGGTTCGATTTTGGGGTTCTGGGTTCTGGGTTTGAGTTCGGAATTGTGGGTTTTGGGTTGTGGGTTTGAGTTTGGGTTGTGGGTTTTGGGGTTCCGGGTTTAATTTGAGTTTGGGTTGTGGGTTGTAGTGGTGGGTGGCGGGTGGTGGGTGGTGTCGTGGTACTAGGTGGTGGTGTTTGGTGGTTTCGTGGTGCTAGATGGTGGTGTTGGGTGGTTTCGTGGTGATATGTGGTGGTGGTGATAGGTGGTTTTGTGGTGCTAAGGTGGTGGCAGAAGTGGTGGTGGTGTAGAGAGGAGAGAGAAAGAAGAGGAGTGAGAAGGAAATTAAAAAAAAAAAACTTTTTAATCGGTTTAACAAGTTAAAGGTCAAATGGACCTGTCAAAGAAGGTGGGGTGCAAAGGTTGGATTTTTTTGAGATTAATGGAAGGTTGGATTTTTATTGTCAGACCGCCCAAAGGTTGGATTTTTAGATTCCATTTTTCCTTTAGTTTATTAATTTGTAATGTTATGGTTATATTCTTTAATGTTGTAATGGTCTTATTATTTATTTCAGGAGTGTTTTATTTAGTTATTGTTATATCCTTTAAAGTTGTAAGTCTTTCATCTTCTGGAATGGGATGTTAGACATTATGTTGCAATTGGATGACAATCTGAGAACATTATCAATAATATTATCTACTAGATTACCGTGTGCCCATACATTGAATTGTAATTGGATAGAAATCTAATACTTTATCTAAAATCTGATCATCTAGAATTGTGTGCATTAACTTTAATTGCCATCAATGCCTTTAGGCAGTTGTCGGATAATGGCGTAGAAATCATTTTTTATTTTTTCTTACTGATTTATGGGTTTGACATTAGGGAAGACATTAATGCTTTTAGACAGCGGTTAGATAGTAGCGAAGAAATCTTTTATAAAATATTACTGAACATTATTTATAATGGCTTCTACGACACTGGTGGAGTATCAATGCGAGCACAACGATTAACCAATGAATCGGTTGTGGCTAATTTGAAAAGGGTGAGAGTTGAGGAGTTAGTGGTTGGTGTTGATGAAGTTTGCTCAATTTGCCTAGACAATTTTGGAAAGAAACAAGGAAAAGAAGCAGAAGAATTGGTGTGTCTATTACCGTGTAAACATGCTTTTCATGACGGTTGTATTGTTAAGTGGCTCAACCTTAACCACTTTTGTCCTTTGTGTCGTTTTGAGTTGATGGCTCATGGCTGCCGAGAGCTTGTAAACTAATGATTATGATTCAATTTAGTGATTAAATTAATTGTATTATAATCAAGATATTTTTTTTTATTGTCATTCTCTACACAAAAAGTTATTTTTTATGTCAATAAAAACTCATATTTTTGAAGTTCATGACTGCAGTTATGTTGTATTTAAGATTCATAAAACGAAAACCATAAAACTAGGGCTATCAAACGTGTCTTTCGTGTTGAGTTCGTGTTCTTGTCGAGTTTGTGTTCGTGTTGATGTTAAACGGGGTTATCCAAACCTAACTTGTCGGGTTGTGATTTGTTTTTAAAAACAAATATATACATTAAACAGGATTTGTTTTATTTTTGATTTCCTAAAAAAAAAAACGTAGTACTTGAAAATTTATAACAGGCCAAACGACATCTCTAAACCTTGGACTCTTGGATTTTTATTTAGCTCCATTCCAATTCGTATATTGTAGTGAACGCAATCGTATCTTAAAGTCCCTCACATATTTCTATGTATTTCTAGATTGTAGTCTGCAACTGTAAGTCTCGGAATCACATATTATGGAAGCTCATCAATCATCTGTGTTACCTTAGATCATCGTTTACATCTAAGTTGCACGGAAACGGAAAACGAAAACGAAGACGGAAACGGGAAAACGGAAAATTTGAAATTATGGGAAACGGGGACATGAAAAATCACATAAATAAAAGACATTTAAATGGAATGAAATACCAAATAAATTTGCAAGAAATAAAAACAAACAAATACTTCATTTTGTAAATTGCAAGAAGTTCCCCTTTCTTACAAATTAAATCCAAAAATAAACATCAAATTGGTGAAATTTGTCGGTGGTAGTTAGATCAATGTTGTTATAGAAAGGCGGTGACGGCAGTAAACAAGGATCTTCAAAAGCTTGGAAACGACAATTACATAAACAACCATGTTGCTTGACTGCTTGTAATTTTAAAATTTAAGGGTTTAAAGGCCTACGTTGAAATTCAGTTCAGTTCATTTCAATTCAGCTCCTAATTTCCTTCTCTTATAAAATATTCGTTTCAGTTCAATTTAGCTCAATTCAGTTCAGTTTAGCCAAGTTCAGTCAATGAGAACAGACCCTAATTGTTGTTTTTGTAGGGGAAACGTTAATAGATATCTTTGATTAAGTTTTCCATAGGTTTCTGAACTTTTAAATTATGTGAGACGCGTCGCGAAATAAAGAAATTCCATGAGCCGTTTTGAAACACGTTTTGAAACGCAAGACGTTTCCGAAACGTTTCAGAAACGATACGTGGGTAAATTCGAGAGTTTACGTGCTTCAGACACCAATTGCATCACTAGACACTTGTTGCATCACTAGACACTTGTTGATTTGAATATGACATTAAATTAAAACTTAAATGTAAATTGATACATCAATCCATCAATTAATTGTTCCATATTTAAATAAAGCACAATTTATTACGGAGTACAATATTTATAACATGATCGAATTTAAATATTAGAGAAAATATAGTGGTCTTTTAATCAATCAAGCTTTAAGTAGGAAAGTCTTCAAGGTTTGGTCAGAGCTTAATTTAAATGTACGTCCTCGATTGTGAGCTGCAAGTAGCTCGTGATAGTGAAGATCCCTGTATATTGGTGGGTTCTCATCATCAGTAAGTTCTTTAGCTGGTCCAAATAGTTGATCATCTGCCGGACATAGGAAAACAGCTGCACTTTCTCGAGCTACATTCTCGTTTGTCACTACCTGATGTTCACCGGGTTTAAGCTTTCCGTTGCTAACAACCTTAGAACAATAACACCAAAATGAAAGTGAGTAAAACAAAAAGTAACTGAAATGAAATACATACTTCTTCCTTTTTTTTAGTTGACACTATTTGACTTTTACACTATTCATAAACTCACTTTGACTAGCTTTTGTGATTTATAGTTGTGATAAAATATAATCAAGTGGAATCTTATTTGTATTTTTTTTTTTTGAGGACATCAATTATATTTTATTAATTTCAGTTTTAATAATTTAGTGTATTGGCAAGCGTGATAAAAGAAAGGTGTCAACTAAATAAAAACAGTATATACATACCTGCATGACATTGCCCAGGTTAACAACAAAAACATCAGGAATAGGATCAGCTGGGATCCATTCTCCATCCTTGACAAATTGAAGGCCTGCAATATCCCCTTGCATAACAATGGTTATGAGACTACGGTCCCTGTGCCTTCCGGCGGCTAGAGTAAGCTTAGGGTCCGGGCATGATGGGTAATGATTCACATTCATGTCAACCACATCCCCAACTTTTGCCTTTTCGAAATAATCAGCTTCAAGCCCTAGTCCCTCCGCAATCAGCTTTAGCAGTTCCTTTCCCACTTCATTTACTTTTGTCGTAAATTCTCCAATAACCTCCCTAAAAGTATTTATATTCAGTTCATACATACGTATAACTATATTATTGCGGTTGCATACTTGCATCGACGTATAATACTTTGATCCAGCCAATCATTAAAAATTAGTCATACGACATGAATCTATATAATATACTTGGTATGTCATATAGAACTGTAATGCGGAGTAGTATATTAAAATTTAAAATTAGTCATACGACAAGAATCTATAATACCATTGTACATAAATTTTTTTCGAACAATGATGTATACGACATCTTACCTGTAATTAGCGGGCTTGTCGGGCCAGTAAGGGGCGCATTTCTCAACAGGTAAGCATCGTTGTGTTATACCATCCCTCCAAAAGTGAAGGTCTTCTGCAAAATAATTATAATTGCTTGTATACAAAGTGAATATATCCTTACTATCGTAAGAAATATATTTCTCTTTATACTCCCCTGGAAGCTCGAAGAATTCCTTGATCACACTTCTTGCCTCATTAAGTAATTTGCTTGGCACCCCATGATTTTTAATCTGCCACCCAATTCATTCACAAATTAATTAGTGTTGCACAAAAATTAATTCAAGAGATAAAAAGAAATACAGTTATTAATAATATAAATGTAATTTAGGAAAATTGTATTTTTTTTTTTAAAGGAAAGATTTAATATCAATCATCAATCATCAATCAATCAATATATAATACTAAAATAGACACACATAGTGAGATTTTATCCTGCTCATTTTTTTATTTTTTTATTTTGTTTGACATATTCTTCTAGGAAAATATTTTATAATAATTCAAAATATCTTGACATTGGTTCATAATTCAAGGAAAAAAAAAACAAGACTAAAGTTTCCATAATCTTAACATTGATATAAGTATAAAATACAAGTTATATTTATTTTTAAATTAGTATTACAAGTGTAATTTTTTTTAAATTCAATAACAACTTTGTATAAAATTTAATAACAATGGTGCATTTCATGGGACTTAACCTAATGGGACTATATTTTTGTAACGCCTAAAATAGCATATGAGACTTTAAAAAGTGACGGGGGGAGTATTTATCATTCCCGTTTATTAATTAGCCAAATATAATTGATTGTGTTCCAATGTTTAATTTTACATACAATTATAGTTGTTACACCTCTTTTGGCTACTTAACGGCCTTTCAAATGTGTAACGAAGATTAGAGCCTTCTCAATCAATTATTAAATTGTTAAAGGACCAAGTCATAGATCGAGTTTAATTTCCTCTTTGGAGTTGACCATATATGCCCTAAATTTCACCATTTATTCATAGAGTTTTGGTTGAATTCGGATTGTCAGTGGTGTTCTCGATATAAGAGGGAGATGATGAAAATGGCATGGTGTCCGTAGGGGTAAAGTAACTTAAGTGAGTAAACCAAACATATAAGCAAAATATTTTTTTTTTTTTTTTTTTTTTTTTTGAAGGAAACACAAGATATAGATAAAGCAAAGAAAGAATGACCTGAAAGGCTCCAAGTTCTTGAGAAGCCTTAATGAGCTGGTGGATGACATCAGCACGAGCAGGATGATGAGCATCACCAAATGCATTGGTGAGGTCGATTAGAGGAACACTCTGGTTGGTTTTGGGAGCAATTCCATTTTCCCCTGGTCTTTTTTCAGGTGGAAATATGTAGCTTTTAGGCAACTTCTTGCCATCACTCCAACTTTGAACAAATAAATTCATTTTTACACTTTATTTGATTGATTTTCACTTTAGCTTCAAGGGTGGAGAGGAAACCTATTACATACTAGCATATTTATACTGAAAAATTAGAAAATAACACCATAAGAATTACAGAAATTTAATTATGGAATTCGTTAGTAGGACTCACTATCAGTGCGGAATACACCTTATGGCAAGTGGGGTTAAGTGACCCCACTAGAACATGTAAAAAAAAAAATATCCTTTAAAATTGATTTTTTTTTTCTTCTATAATATTCAGCTTTTTTTCCTATTAAAAATAACCTCTTGACCCCATTAAAATTTATCAAAGGTATTTTGACCCGATTAAATTTTTTTTTTGGGTCCACCAATGCCCACTATGGACACGTGTCAATTAGGTATTGGTTTTAAATAAATAAAAAGGAAAAAGGAAAAAAAAAACCTTAAAACCCTAACCCAGTCACTAGTCCACCATCAGCCACCCTAACCCCTACCGCCGGCAGAAAAAACCTAGCTGCCGGTACTGCTTGCCCCACCCAAAACCAGCCCAACCATGATCGTCAAAATTGCGCGACTCCATCCCTTCCCCCTCCCCAAAACCACCCAGCCCATTCAACCGCCGTAAAAACCACCCCAACCTTAGTCTAAAAATCGAAATCCACCGCCTATAATAAAACCCCCCTCTCCACCGCCCAAAACCCCCTCCTATAACATCAAAAATGACCGAAACCCCCTCCCCTAACAGTGCATACCCTCGAAACCTCCCCCATAACACCGTTGGACGGGGTTTGAATTCGCGATCTAGCGTCTTCTTCATCGTTGGTACGGTGCATGAGGTGGTGGGGCTAGGGTCGTTTTCGGAGAGGGGGGAGGGAGGAAGTGGTGGAGTTGGCAGTTTTGGTGGGGTCTGGGGGTTTCAGCGGTTGGATTTGGGCTGTCGGAGGCAAGGGTAGGTGGTTCCGGTGGTGGGGCTGGGTTAAGTTAGGGTTTACAATTCTTTTTATATATCTTTTTGTATACAAGTTGCTGAGTGACACGTGTTCACAGTGAGCCCCACTAATGAATTCCATCCAAGAATCCGTTAGATGGTGGTGAAATCATTTTATTTATTTTTTTAATTTTATGTTACTCTTTTTTTTTTTTTTTTTTTTTTTGGTGGTGTTGTGATAAAAGTTTGAGATTTTGTAGTGTTATAATCCATGTTTTGTGAAATTTGTGGTGTTAATTTCTAATTTTCCTATTTATAAACTACTCTCTCCGTCCCGTAATTCAGAGCATATTTGAGTTTTTTTCGCGGGAATTAAGAAAGTTGGTGAAAGTATATAAGTGCAGGTGGGGTTAGAGAGAGATAGAGAGAAAAATAAATGGTTGAGAATTATTGAAGAGAGTGAGAGAGAAAGTATTGGAAATCAATAACATAATACTAAAATAGACACCAGGAATGACACATGCATGTCATTTCCTGGTGCTGTATTTTCCCTCCAAAATGGTTTTTTAATTTATTTTAAGGGAAATTCTCAATGGTAGCCACGTACTATTGCTTATTTCCAATGGTAGCCAATTTTTTTTCGATTCTCAATGGTAGCCTTCAACTTTTTTAAAGTAACCTCATTTACTAAATAATGTTAAGTAACTGTTAAGTTAACTAGAGTTTAGAAAAATAATTGTTAAATTTAACTACAATTAAACATTTTTTTGTTCCTTCCCTTCATCTTCATGGCTTCCACCCATCCCTATTTTCTTCATCTTCTTCCTCCCTTCATGGATGTCGTCCCTAACTCTTTCCTCCGTTCTAGCCCACCGGCACCGGCCAACCCCCACCCAATGCCACTTCCCCCCGACATCCCATGTCCTCCTTTCAAACACATCCCCCTTACCCACACCCCCAAATGCACTCGCGATGGTTCCGTTCAAACTTTGGGACATTAATGGCGAAAACTCGCACGCCAGCAAAGTCATCATCTCGTCGAATATTGAGCAAAATTTGATCGTCTAAAAGAAGGAAATCGTTCGATAGCAACCCAAATAAGGTCCTATTCGTCTTTAGCAATTAATTCGGAGTTGGAAATTAGGGCTTGATTGAGTTGAAGTTTGATGAAATTGGGGAAATTGATTAAGGAATTCTACAATTTGCAAACACATTGGAAGCGTAGAGGTGATTTAACGGGTTAGCGTGAGACAATTTCGGCGGTTACTTCGTCATGAGTATCGCCATTGTTGCCTTAGCTTGAGCTTAAAAATCAGAGGGGGCTGGGGGAAGAAGATGATTGGGGTCTCGGTTAAGGGCTGGGGTAGAATTGGCGGTGGAGGAGATGGGGGAAAGGGTTGGTGGCTGATGTGAAGGGTTGTTTTATTTTTTATTTATTTTATTTTTATATTATTTTCACTTGTATTTTATTTATTTTTATTTAAAAAAAAAAAGTTAACCTTCATTTGAAATAAGGTTAGATTTAATAGAAATCTAACAAAACTACATAAATAAGGTTACAATTGAAACTTTTAAAAAGTTGGAGGCTACCATTGAGAATCGAAAAAAAAAAATTGGCTACCATTGAGAATAAGCAATAATTCGTGACTACCATTGAGAATTTTCCTTATTTTAATTTTTGTCAAATCTTCTTAAACAATCTTCTACAATACCAACAAAGATATTTGTTCCATATTTAGTTAACATATAAATTCCATATTTTTCATTTAATATATTTTCTACCTTTTATATGGTAATTCATTATTAATGCCCAAACCATGTGTCGATCAAAGTTTATCAACTAATTAAATTATTGTATAACTCTTGCTTTTGTATAAATTATAATATAACTTTTCAAAGATTGGAGTAATTCACAATAAATTTTGTTAAATCCGTGCAATGCACTGGATCTAATCTAGTTAATACAAAAATTAATCATTGGTACAAAAGGTGACGACAACCATAAAAAAATGGAGAACATTCTCAAATAATACAACCTTTTAACTTTAAACTCTTAATTTTGAATTCGCCAAAAAGAAAAACAGACTCTTTATATAGAAATTATATTGTGTGTGTGTGTGTATATATATATATATATATATATATATATATATATATATATATATTATATATATATATATATATATATATATATATATATATATTATTTCCTCCGTTCTTTTTTATTTGACGCGCTTTGAATTCATCTCAATAAGTATTATCATAATATGTAAATTTTACAATTTTTACTTATAGAAAATTAAAGTTATTGATCGTGAAAGTTTTGCATTGGCAAGCGTGGTAAAAGAAACAGGTCAAGTAAAAAACAACAGAGGAAGTATATATTTTGTTAGGAGATATATTTACAGACTTATCTCTAAGAAAAATTTGATTTTCTTGTTAGATTTACTCATTTGTAGTTATTTTCTTTAAGTTTTTGTTGTAAAAAAAAATAAAATAAAAAAATAAATAAATTATGGTTTGTGTTGAAAGGCATTTGTATCGTATTATCTTTGACAAAATATCTCCAATGTCCTTTTCATTTGTGTTTTACTTGAGGTTAGTAACGTGTGGGGCAGGTTGGTATAATTGCGTAGACAGTGATGGCCGATTGCCCGATTGACAAGGCCGTGTCAACGACTTTGAAATAGGCGAGCCCAACAAAATTAATGTTTATATATAATGTAAAATTTAATTGCAAATTTTAAGATGTATTATGGTGTACCTAACCACGCCTATATTTTTTAACATTTAGTAAAAAATCTGATCAATTGTAAATTCTGATTATGTAGTAAAAAAATATGAATATTGCAAATTTTGAACATTTAATAAATTTTTTTTGAACAATCGCAATGCACCACGCCAATACTTTTGAACATTTAGTAAAAAAGTATGAACAATAACAACTTTTGAACACTTCGTTAAAAAATCTGAACAATTGCAAATTTTGAATTATTACGAATCAGACAAATTTTGCAAAAAGTTTGTCTAACTCGTAATAATTCAATAGTTTGGTAATATATATTGAACATTTACTGTATAAAAGATGAACATTTCTTTATAAAATATGAACATAAAAATTGTATGTTTATGTTCAGTTTTTGTGACGTGTTCATATTTTTTAGTAAATGTTCTGGTTTTTTTTTGTGAAATGTTTAATATTTTTTTGGTTAATTTTTATATTACCACCCAAAAATGTAACCATTTTTGAACTAACCACCCGTTTAATTTTTTATTTTAAATTACCACCCTTAAATTAAATAAATGCTCAGATTACCACCCATTTCAAAAATTCGGTGAATTTTCTGTCTGTAGGCCCCACCTAACATTTATTTTGACCCTTTGACTGATTTTTTCCCCGATTTTTCTCTTTAAAAACGCTCTCCAAACTTTAATTCACATTTCCTTCACCAAATTCCACTAAATTTTACAGAGAAAAATATTATATTAATTCACATCAGCGGTTGCTACTTTAATATTAGTTATAGATTAATTTCATATGTTTTTTCAACTAATGTACATAAATATTCATTCATTAGTGGTTCTTACTATACATGCACATATGTGTTATTATAAAGGTTAGTATAATATATGATACTAGGTTGGGTTCCATGCCATGCATGGTAATTTTTAAAAATTAATATCAACTTTTCAATATAATTGGTTATTTTACGAAAAAATGTTAAAAAAAAAACTAAAATTTAATTAATCTAAAAATTTAATTAATATACACACTACTTTGTTGTGAATTCTAATCAATAAAAAAACAACTATTTTAATAACAATACTTTCTTGAAGTAAATTAATAAAATCTTTTTTAATTTTAAGTAATTATCTTTGTTATTAACATATATTAAAAAAATTGTTTTTGTAAGAGATTTTATGCTATAATTAATTTTTTTTTACTACCTCCGTTTCATAAAATATGCAACAATTTCCTAAAATGGAAACTACACATTATGTGCAACAAACTAAAAGTTTCCCCTTTTGTAAATTTTTTGTGTAAAATTATCACCATACCCTTACTAAGTTTTACTTAACTACAATAAATAACATATTAACTCTTTAACCCAAATTAATTTATCCTTAAATAAAACCCTAACCCACATTCTCTCTCCACCCTCACAACCACATCCACCACCAACATCACCATTTTTTCTCTCTCCTCCCTATGAACCACCACCAATAGCACGACACCACCACTAACTGCACGACACCGCCACTCAGATCAATTCCCTCTCATCAATCACAACCACAAAACCACCACCACCACGAAACCGCTGCCTCTATTTCCCCGTTCAAAGTTGTCATCGTTCACCCCGACCTTTCACGTCACTCTGCCAAATCGGGGCGATTTGGGGGTTTGCGATTTGGGGGTCGTGCGATTTTGGGGGTCTGCAATTTGGGGGTATGCGATTAGGTTGCGATTTGGAGGTCTACGATTGGTTGCGATTTGGGGGTCTGCGATTAGGTTGCAATTTGGGGGTCTGCAATTTGGTTGGGTGGGTTCGTTTGTGGTGGTAAGTGGGGGTTTTAGTTCTTTGGTGGTGAGTTGGGGTCTTGGTTCGTTTGTGGTTGGGTGGGTTGTTGGTGGAGGTGCGAGTTGGTTGGATGAGTTTTGGGTGGTTGTGCGAGGTGATAAGTGGTGGTGAGGTGGGGCTTCGTGTGTTGGTGTTCTGGTGGTGTTGGTGGTCTGGTTGTGGTGTTGGTGATCTGGTGGTTTGGTGCAGTGGTCTGGTGGTGGTGCGCTAGTTGTGTTTTGGGTGGTTGTGGTGGGGTTATTTACTCTCATCCAATTAATCACATGCCCTTTTGTTTACTAATCTTTGCTTAAGAAACTTTTCCTTGGGAATTGTGCAAGGCCCTTTGTTGCAGATTATTTAAAACGGAGGTAGTATTAAAAAACAAACTACTAAGGACATACTAGGTGATGACACATGTCATTGCTGGCATGTCTTTTAGTATATAGTTATTATTGATCTTTAAATTAAACAATTTTGGATTTTATGTATATCAGTATATGTAATTTTTAAGTCTCCACTTCCTCTATATTTAAATGCGTGAAACATTTTTGACTTTTTTCATTATTCATTTACTCGTAATTCACTTTGACTAATAGTTGTGATCTACATATAAGAATAAAAAATGGTCTTGCAGGAGCTTGTTAGAATAAATCGTCTCAATAAGTAGTTTATTAATATTCAATTGTAATAATTATTACTTATTATCATTCAAAGTTTTGCATTGACGTATGTGGATTAAAAAATGTTTTACTTATTAATATATATACAGAGAGAATATATTAATACGAAGGTACGTATGAGACAAATGCACAGTAATAATCATATATAATCAAGAAAAAAAAAACTATAAGTTATTTCTACCTCAGTTTTTTTTAGTTGACACATATTCATTTTTAGGAAGTTTATTTTTAGTTGAAACATTTCCTTTTTGGGTAGATTTTATACCTTGCTTTTTTAGTGTACCCTACATGTTAATCATTTTCTCCTATTCTTTCTCAACTCCTTAATATGTGTGCCAAAAGTTGAACGCATCAACTAAATAGAAACAAAGGAAGTACACAAATTCTTATATGTGGCTGCCCACACGGCGTGACCATCAATCAAAAGGGTTACTTCATTAGTGTTATAAAGGTTACTTGTTCAATGTTACATGGGTTACTTCGTCAGTGTTAGGGTTTAGTTATGAGTTACCCAGTCAGTATTTTAGGAGTTACTCGGTCAGTATTATATGGGTTACTCGGTCAATATTATAGGGGTTACTTTATTCTTTTACAATCATGTAGCCAGTCGCACACAAGACGCATTGTAGGAAGTATATACTTCCTATTTTTTAGTTAATGTGTTTTTAATTTAACACTAAATTAGAATAAGATTAATATTCATTAATCACATTTCAAACACAAAATTAAACAAAATCATAGAACAATAAAATGTGTTTTGATGATACTAAGGGTCTATTCTGTTCCGCTTAATTTTAGTTTAGTTAAGTTGATTTCAGCTCCAACCAGTTCAGTTTAATTCCCAATTTCCTTCTCTCATAAACAATTTATTTCATTTTAATTCAGTTCAACTCCAATTACTTTAATTCAGTTAAGTTCAGTTTAATGAATCAAAACAGCCCCTAATACCCATAAGTCAGAAAATTGGTTCAAAAGTACTAATGTATTGTTATACGCCAGTACGTATACTGCTATGACAATGATATACGTAGTACGGAGTAATAAACATTTTGCAAAGCTTTTAATTTTCAATTTTCAATTTTTTTTTTTTTTTTTTTAACAATTTGGTAATCTTTGAGGTTGTTATTTAATGGGTCCCAGTCCCAGCGTCCCACAATGAATTTCTCAAATTAATACTCGTAATTTGGTGGGATGGTGGCCCCCATATTTAATTCTCTTTGTTTTCTCTGTTCTACCATTTACGTAGTACTTCAGCAAGTGACGGATCCACGATTATCAAGTAGGATAGCACCACACTTTTGACAATGTATTAAATTAAATTATTGGAGTAGGATAAGACACGATTATCAAGTAGGATAGAAGAGCTCAATGTTGAAAGGGGATGAATATGCTCGAGGAGGCAAAAGTAAATTTCAGTGTCTTATAAATAAATAAATAAAAATAATAATAAAAAATAAAAAACATTGATGCTTGATAAAAAGAATCGTGTCTTGAAAAAGAGAGGCAAAAGTAAATTTAAGTGTCTTATATATAAAAAAAAAAAAAAAAGTAAATTTATGTAGGCTAAAGCGAAATAGTAAATACTTTTTACTCCCTCTATTTTTAAATTCTTGCTCCCTTTTTCTTGGATACGCATGCCGATACTAATACTTGATCACTAATGTCTTTAATTATCAATAACTTTAAGTTTTAACAATTGAAAATTAATAATTTATTCATTTAGATGATTCCAACAAATACCTACAAGATCATATTTTTTCTTATGTATAAGTCACAAATATTAGTTAAAGTAGGACAAATAAATAGTGCAAAAAATAAAAATGGAGCAAGTATTTAAGGGAGTATTAAACATTAATGCTTGATAAAAAGAATCGAACTTGCTAATTGCCAAACCTCCGAGCAACCCAGCATGCTTCTACAATTTTAACGTTGCGACAACGATACCAATGTGATTTACATTTGCAATTTTTTTAATAATTATACTAAAACAACAATTTTTTATTTATTATTAATTTTTATTTTAAAACCAGGGGTAGCACGTGACCCCTGGTTCCTTAGTAGATCCGCCATTTCCAGCATTAATAAGCTCAAAACATTTTCCCTTAAAAAAATAAAAATAAAAACAAAAACAAAGCTCAAAAACTTCAGCTTAAATGGAGTTTGGCCGCTTGAACCATTGATCAACGTGAGTCGCTTTTATGGTGAATTCCAAGCGACCTAATAATTAAGTTATTCAAATTTTGCAAAAATACAGTCAGTGTTCAAAACGAGCAGATTTTAAGTGGTGTTTCCAAACTTAATGTTTGAACAAATACAGGATTGAGCAATTACAAAGGAGAGAGACTATGATGTTTGAACTCTGAAGGCAGAGTTTTCCTAATCAAGTCCGTCGTTAAGTTGCGGATGTGACACGGCGTCAACTCCACCTGTAAGTCTGTGCTGTTACGTGGCTTCTTAGTCATGTTAGTTGTCCATGTCATGAGAGGGAATTTACAAGTGCATCCTTAAATTAATAGGATGAAATACCAATACAGCCCTTAGATTAACACATTATAGCAATCAAGAAGATTAACTTGAATTTGCCGATAATCGACCAGATTTATCTCACTTATGGATTATCATGCTGATATAGATTTCACTTCTAGGTACAGAGACCAACATGGGCAGTCAAGATAAACAACAACTTCAAAGGAAAGAAAAAATCTCAATAGTTTCATTATAAGTTGGGCGAGTAAATACAAATTAAAGGTGCTAACGTTTGCCAAAAGTTGCAAATAAGATACTAACGTTTCAAAAGTTGCAGATAGAGTACTCACCATATAATTGACCTTCTACAACAGGTTAACCAAACAAAAAAAAAATGAAAAATAAAATTCTGACATTAATAAAGAGGGGACTGAAGTTTGCAATTGTTCAAGATATCTATCAGTTAAATTATAGCTGGTACAACTCCAAAAAAACTGACTTCCATATATACTCATATAGCCATCTTGTCCACCTTGCATCTATTGAAAAAAAAAATCAGAAGAAGCAATTACAAAAATTACAGGAAATACAAAATACAAAGTTATTTTTTTTAAAAGAGTACATGTCTAAAAGTTACAGGAAAATCAACAAAAATAAGTCTAATTATTAGTTTCGGTAACAAATCAACAAAAATAATAATTTCACAGCTAATAAGTCTAATTATAAGTTTCGGTAACAAATCAAAATTATCTTCAAACAATTCAAATTCAGAAAACAATTTGAAAAGATAAATTTGTAGATAGTAAGAAATCAAATTACCAGAAATAGATGAATAATCACTGGAGTAATTGGATAGTACGGAAACAATCGATTTACTTGAGCTTCCGCAATTGTAAATAAATGAATTAGTGTAGAAACAGAGAATATTGGTCTTATTTATTGATACAATGAGCAACAAATATATAATACAATGTCTGACTTCTACTAAGCCTAGTCGAATACCACTAGCTAAAGCATGGGCAAGAAGATAAATATAGGAAATAATATCCTAGAGAACCAATTTATATCCTTGATAATCAAATATCCCCAAATCAAATATACTCCCAAACATTTCCCTAAAATATATCGTAATAATTAGAAACTACGTTAAAAATTAAAAAAATGCAATTTAATTAAATTGGGTGAAATTAAAGATACCTTTGGGAGAGTAATGGAAATGGGAAGGTTTTAGTTTTCATAGAAGCAATTGAAGAACAAGTAAAATAGGTTGAAATTGAAGCTGCCACCATTTTCGTGATTTCTGGGTGCTTGGAAGAGTTAGTGTGTTGAAGAGGGAGAAAGGTGAAAGGTAATGATGTTTTTTGTTTCCCAATGTACAAATTAGCCTTTTTTTTTCCTTCCTGAAGCACACGTGTTCCTATTTAATTATTTTTCCTTTTTTTGATAAACCAAAAACTTGTTCCAACCGTTTTAACAAGTTTTCACCGGATTGTTTACCTCCTATAACAAGTTCAGTACCCTTTGTGCAACTTTTGAAACGTTGATACCTTATGTGCAACTTTTGGCAAACGTTAGTACCTTCAATTTACATTTACTCTAAGTTAGGCTTAAGCCCTAACTGACAATGCTTGACAAAGATGTAGCGTTCCACAATGCATACATTCGTGTCAGAAAAGCCCTCCTATGTCCTTCGTTGAATAGTGCATTCAAGCCCGCAGGAAAGGGGGACAACAGAGATAAAGGACGAATAAGCAAGATAGCAAGAAAACTCCCTAGAGAAATCCAGTAAAAGTGTACAAGCGTAAGGCAGGTGACAGAAAGGTAAGCCAAAATGATGATCAAGATGAGCAGCTGCAAAGTATCCTGAACAGCATAAGCATACAGAACATATCAGAATCACATTATTACAGGAAAAGTTCTACAGAATTGTTTGAAAAATTTACCAATACACAACACAAACATACTGAACAAACCTGGCAACCAACTGGCCTAGTGTTGCGCAGAAACAGAGAAAATAGAAAGAAAATGTCCCTTTGAATTCCAGAGATCCCAGTGTGGCATGAATCCATGCTGGACTGTCCTCAACTGAGCATTCAGGCCAGCCACCAAATGACTCCATACAGAAGTTGGGACATGCTGAAATAAATATGGGTCAAGGTTATACAACGCATCACATATCACTAATGAATTGGGAAAGGGGAAGGTGACACACCTGAGCCATCAGATTGGTCTACAGTGCATCACTATGAAGACTATACGGAGACATATAACAGCCATTGCCACCAAAAATTATGCACAAGGGAAACCTCTTTTGTATGATTGACACAATATCTACACGATTTTCGTCACCACTAAGAAAGAAATCAATATATGCAACCATTAAATCAGGTGTTCCTCCAACCTACAATGATACCATTATAATCACATCATAGATAACCTTGAGGAGAAGAGAGCTCAGAGAAAGCCATTTCAAATTTTGTTAATCAAAGCCTTTCCCTGTTTACCTTCTCATACACATTTACTGAAACGCATATAATTAGAAACTTCAAGGTGAAGAAAAAGTTGACATAGGAGTTCGAGTAATTGCTTAAGAGTGACAATTTTTTTCTTTTTTGAAAACTACACGTAATGATTACCTTCATTCCTTTGTGCAATGCCCTTGCTCAGCAAGAGCGTAGACACGAATGGTTATATTCAGACTTGACATAATCCTACAGAAGTTGGATTTTAATTCTACGACGCCATTGTTTCCATGACCAAGCACAAGGATAAGCAAGCACTAAAAGAATACTGTGAACAGAGCCTTCCCACCAATCATATGCAGCAATAGAATTGATCTCATCAATGAATCTATTAAAGGCATCTTCATACCTGGATAAAAAGTAAAAACTCCCATCAGGTAATGTAAATGCTGAGACATGAATCATATGATTATATGAATTAGGTTGACCAACATAAAACTATCAAATTCATATTCTATCAATTTTCAGCAAATAGAAAGATTATCAAGTCATACATCAACATTGCTAATCTTCTAAGTTTTAAGGCTATGTTCTCTTCAACTTATTTAAGGTGCTCTGGATTGAATTTTTAAAGATCTGGCTACTCTGGTCTAAATCTTTCTGGTATGAAACTGTCTAGTCTGGTCCAGTAAAAAATTATTGTCTTGTTTGAGTGGTTATCTTTATTGATAAAATTGGGAATGAATTGTGAAATTCCTCTTACCTTTGATATTTCAGATAGAAGTATTTATACAGCCTATTAAGTGGAGAGCCAACTAAACACATTAATTACAAAAATAAACTAGCTGTACACAAATAGGAAAATACTAGTCTCTTGAACTTCCTATACTCCCCCTCAAGTGGGAGTGTGAGGATCACGAACTCCCAACTTGGACATGAGAAAATAAAATTGGTCTGTCCCTAGTGCCTTAGTGAAAATGTCAGCTAATTGAAGAGAGGTTTGTATATAAGCTGTACTAATAACTCCGGCAACCAAGAGCTCTCGCAGAAAATGACAATCAATCTCTATGTGTTTCGTTCTTTCGTGAAAAACAGGATTTGCAGCAATGTGGATTGCAGCTTGGTTGTCACAAAACAAACGAACTGGTTGACGATGGAAAACACCCAAGCATGCAAGGAAAGACCTCAACCACTTGACTTCAGCACAAGTAAATGCCATAGAACGATATTCGGCTTCTGCCGAAGAACGGGACACAGTTGCCTGCTTCTTTGTCTTCCAAGAAATAGGAGAAGAGCCAAGCATTAGAAAATAGGCCGAAATAGAACGGCGAGCAGATAAGGAGTGAGATAGGGCAACTCGCCCAATCGGAGTCACAATAAGCATATAGTTGCAAACCACTATCTGCACTAAGGAACACACCTTGACCAGGATTACCTTTAAGATATCTTAAAACTCGAATAGCTGCCTCAAAATGTTCTTGTCGAGGAGATTGCATAAACTGGGATAGTATGTGGACTGAATAAGAGATGTCTGGACGAGTGATGGTGAGATAAATAAGGCGCCCGATGATACGTCTATATTTGGCAGGGTGATGATACAAAGGACCTGAAGCAAGAGCCAACTTGTGATTCTGAGGTAATAGAGTATCAACTGGTTTACATGATCCCAAACCTGTTTCAGCAAGGATGTCAAGTGTATATTTGCGTTGAGACAAAAACATTCCTTCTGAAGATCGCGCACATTCAATACCCAAAAAATATTTAAGAGGACCCAAGTCTTTGAGCTTGAAGCAATCATCAAGATATTGCTTAAAGGATGTGCACAAAGCTGAATTGTTGCCTGCTACTAAAATGTCATCAACGTAAACCAAAACAGTGAGAATATCAGTCCCCTTTCGAATAGTAAACAGAGTGTTATCAACACGAGATTGTTGAAAACCATAGAGACGCAAAGCGGAAGTCAATTTTGCAAACCAATTTCGAGGTGATTGGCGAAGACCATACAAAGACTTTCGGAGACGACATACTTTGGTTGGAGATGTCGTAGTGAACCCGGGAGGTAATTTCATATAAACCTCCTCTTTAAGATCACCGTGCAAGAAGGCGTTGTTTACATCAAGTTGATGCACTTCCCATTTCTTAGCAACTGCCACCGCAAGAAAAATACGCACACTTACCATTTTTGCTACAGGTGCATACGTGTCATTAAAATCCTCCCCTTCCTTTTGATGATTACCGAGCACTACAAGTCGAGCTTTGTCTCTCTCCAATGTACCATCTCGCTTGAACTTACTTTTATATACCCATTTACAACCAATAGGTTTCTTTCCCGGAGGCAAATCAGTGACTTCCCTTGTACCATTTCTTTCTAAAGCATCAACTTCATCTTGCATGGCTTTACGCCATCTAGACTCACGGGCTGCCTCTTTATAAGAAGTAGGCTCAACATTAGCATTAACAGCAACCAGAAAATTTCGATGATTAGTAGAAAATTTTGTATACTGAACATAATTGGCAATAGGAAATTGCATACCTGAGGATGTTGAAGGAGTAGGTGTTGTGGCAGTAGAAATGGGGGGTGAAGACTGAACTGAGTGACATATATAATCAGCCATCCAAGAAGGCGGACGTCGCACGCGAGGAGTCAGATCAACAATGGGGCCTTCATTAGTTGGAGTATTCTGTTCCAGAACAGGGGTGGCCATGGAAGTTGTTGAATGTTGAGGAGTGCAGGTGCTAGGTTCAGATTGGGGTGATTGTGTATGTGGCATTTGAGTGGATTGAATTGGTGGGTTATTGATTAGTACTCCCCCTGTCCACATGATCAAGATCAAAATCCCAATTCAATGACAAATCATCACTAGTTGCAGGTAGTGGGGTTATATGAGCTTGGGCAAAAGGAAAAATATTCTCCAAAAAACGGACATCTCTAGAAATGAACATTTCTTTAGTCTCTAAATCATAGACTTTCCACCCCTTTTTCCCAAATGGATAACCCAAAAATACACATTTCCGACTCCAAGAGGCAAATTTGTCCTTGTGACGTTGCTTATTATGAACATAGCAAAGACACCCAAAAACTTTTAATAAGTCAAAATGAGGAGATGATCCAAAAAGTAACTCGTATGGTGTCTTACCTTCTAAAAGTTTTGTAGGGGTTCTATTAATAAGATGGACTGCAGCCTGCACATATTCACCCCAAAACTCAATCGGTAAAGATGCTTGGAACCGAAGAGCTCGTGCTACCTCTAAAATGTGGCGGTGCTTTCTCTCAACACGGCCATTATGTTGAGGAGTTCCTACATATGAGGTCTGAAATAGCATGCCCTGCTCATCAAAAAAAGGTATTAAAGGCAAAAATTCTGTTCCATTATCAGAGCGTACCATTTTTACCACTTTCCCAAATTGTGTTTTCACCATAGCAAAGAAGCTACGAAAACAATTAGGAACTTCAGTTTTGTCATTCAATAAATACACCCAAACTGCACGAGAATTATCATCGACAATAGTAAGAAAATAATGGGAGCCTGAAAAACAAGATTTTGTATATGGACCCCAAAGATCGCAATGAATCAAACCAAAAAGTTCCTGATTTTGATTATCACTAATAGGAAAAATAGTACGAGTTTGTTTTGCTCGATAACAAATTTCACAAGAGTCTAAAATTTTCTTGATTTTGCTATTCCTAGTTGAACTAGAAATAAGAGACATAGTTTGACTAGATGGATGTCCAAGTCTTTGATGGAGTAGCAACGTAGTGTCAGCAGTAGTAGCATGAACATGAGCCTTTTCTGCCACTGTCTTGAAATAATATACCCCATTTCTAAGCTCACCCATTCCAATCAACGTCCTCATATTGCAATCCTGAATCACACACAATTTGTCAGTAAATGTCACAATACAAGAAGATTCAAGTATTAATTTTCCCACAGAAATAAGGTTGCATTTGGTATTTGGAACATATAAGACATTATTGAGCACTAATCCAGTACTCAAACGACTCCCTTGCTTTATTGCACTAGTCTGCATGCCATTTGGTAAGCTAACAGGTTGATGATCAGGTAGCTCAATACAATCAAATAAAAAATCCAATGTCCCTGTCATATGGTGGGATGCCCCACTGTCTAGTAGCAGCACAATTGCACCCACATGCTATATCTTCAACACCATATAATGCATCCCAAAGAGACTTAAATTTATTGTAGTAATTAACAACAGTCATGCCTTTTTGACGAAGAGTATGATACTCAATTTTCAATTGATGAATACGAGGGCCATTCATGATAGCATAACGTTCCTTGATATCATTCCACATATCAATTGCAATTTTATGACCAACTACACTAGGTTGGATAGAGATATCAATTGAATTAAATAGCCAGCCACATATAGTTGAGTTATTTGATCGCCAAGCCATAAATTCAGGGGATTGTTCATCGGTTGGTTTAGCAATTTCACCATTAATAAAACCTTGTTTATTCTTACCCTCTAAACCATTCATGACAGCCAAAGCCCACACATCATAATTATCTCCATTTAAAACATACTTGGTAATTGACATACATGTACCTTCAGAAGGATGGAGATAGAAAATTGATGATGGGTCATGAATGAGCATTGGAGTCTTCAAATTTGTCTCGCCTCCGACCATGATGATACGCCACTTGGTTGAAACCAAGAAAAGAAAAAAAAATTGAAACTTTTTGTGAGAGTGTGGAAGAGCCGTGAAAGGAACCAGGAAGTTCAATTTGTGTGAAAAAATGAGGGAAAACAAATTGGATAGGTCAATTGAGAAAATAAAAATATTGAGGGAAAAAAAAAAAATTAGATCTCAAACCCTAGAGCTGTGATACCATGATAAAATTGGGAATGAATTGTGAAATTCCTCTGACCTTTGATATTTCAGATAGAAGTATTTATACAGCCTATTAGGTGGAGAGCCAACTAAACACATTAATTACAAAAATAAACTAGCTGTACACAAATAGGAAAATACTAGTCTCTTGAACTTCCTATATTTATACTTCTGTCTGCTCTGGTCTTTATTTCTCTGATAGTCTGGTCTGATCTGGTCTAATTTAAGAAGAATAAATAATATGGTGAATAATACAAAGCCAAAGTCTCCCCTTATAGTGCCTCCAATCTCCAATAAAACTAATCTTACTGTTAAGTCACTATTTATAGACACTACAAGTCCCAAACAACTTGAAGATAAGCATAAAAGAGCTATGATTAACTTTACCACCGATATCTGATCTACATAGTTAGTATTCCTTGTTTATATTCTGGTTCCATATATTTTTTTTTACCTTCTCTATGTATTCAAACTATACAAAAAGTCAAGAAGGTTGGGCCATCTTCAATTTACTGTAATAAGTTTATCAAACACCAGGTAAGATCTAGGGAT